CTGTCTGCACCATTGCTGGTCGTTGTGTTCTAAGAAGTCTTACAGTTCGAAACATATCCACAACACCCTCACATTGCATTCTTTCTATCACAATGCTGAGCGTAATAAATACTCCAGTTCTGCCTACACCAGCACTGTAAGGGAAAAGGCAATATGTAGTTATAGATTTTTGTATACCTATGTACATGCGTATGTATCTTACCTGCAATGAACAGTTATAGGACCATCCTGTCCAAACTGTCCCTTCGTTTTATGAACTTGACCTATGAAATCAATAAATCCATCCCCCGACTTTGGTACTCCTTCCTCGGGCCATTCCGTAAATTGAAACTGTCGGACAGTTCTAAATACCCCATCTCTTGCATCAGTAATTTTAAACTCTCTTAAAATATACTGGGGCATATTATATTCTGCTATGGGATCTACTACTAAACAATGGTATCTTATTGATCGATCACTAGGCCAATATTGGTGGGTTTTCTCTCTTCCTATTTCGGTTAGTTTGGTCAGCATTACTATTATAGTAGAATTGTGTTCCCACAACATTCTCCAAAAGTCATTTACTGTTTCTAGCATTGGTTCTTGGGTAGCTATGTAAGCTTTTCTACAACTATAACTATCAACAAAATTGGCATTGATGTAATCTGAACCTTCTACGTTGGGTAGTGAGGTTAGAAATACCCTGGTATTTTCATAGGGTAAAATGTGTATCAGTCTATTTTTGTGCTTGTTGCACGGTAAATTTGCGGCGATTATCTTTAAGGAATCTATCTTGAAATAACCTAAATTTCTAAATTCTATTAACATATCTGTTGCGCTTTCTCCTGGTCTTAGCGCTAGAAGCCTCTGTACATGAGAATGAAGTTGACGTGCAGGAACTTCTGTTTCTCCACATATCACAGCTTCCAATAAGGCATCATGAATAAAAATATACTGCTCCTCTGTTTGTACCATATAATTTCGTTGAGCTCTTAGACAAGTTACGTGCCCATAAATATCGATGGATTTTTCATGTTTAATACGTTCTAGCATTGAATCTATCACTATGTAGCAACCTACAATAATACATTTTACAGTAAATATACGGTAAAAGGTATTATTACAATCTACCTGTCCTACCAACCCCTGCAGAACAGTGGACAATTATCGGACCACTTCCAGGTGGGTTGATGTTTCTGACTCTTTTAACAAACTGAAGAAATGACGCCGGATGATCGGGCACCCCATGATCAGGCCATGCAGTAAACTGAAGCTGCTTAACTTCCCTCTCATCGGAACAACCGCGCCTCGCAATTTGAAACGTTCTAATACAATAGTAGGCTAGCTGCTGAAAGTCAGTCATTGTAATTGTTATTGATCCGTATGTCTCTGAATCACGTTCTGGCCAATAGCGATCGCACTTGATTCTAGTGCGCTCTTCTAACTTTGTCATCATAACAATGGTGGATGTTTTAACCTCCCAGCACATTCGCCAGAAATCATTAAATGTCTCTTGTAATGGCCCTTGAGTTGCAATGTAAGCGTTGGGTTTTCTGTAACCGTCACAATAATTTGCGTTTATATAATCCGTGCCTAATATACCATTTTCTAATGATAAAGTTACACGGCTGTGATCGTATGCTATTACGTTCGCATATCTGTTTTTTGCTTTATTTATTTCCATATTTGAATGATCCCACGTAAATTGTTGACCTGGTTCTATACTCTCATATTCTTGAGAAAACTTCATGTTCTCGTTTGCTTTCAAATGTTCCACATGTTCGGAGAATTCTGAAATAGGGATCGGTGGATGCGATGCCATTGCTGGTGTTTGAAAATTTTGTCGTCTTAATTCTACCGGATCAGTAGGTACTGTGCCATTCTTTAAATTATTAGGAAATAAAGATTTATGTTGCAAGGAGGGATCAGGTGTTTTGCATGGTTGACGTCTTTTTCTTAACACAAAAATGAACACGAAAAAAATTGACACGGTAATTACAGCAATCAGTGGACCGACAATCCAAAATATGCCTGCTTCTTTTCTTTGCGAACTCACTTTAACATCTGTATCCGTGGGTACCTTAGGATTTGGCCTTAAAGGTGGGTCGCCCGGAGGAACTTCCCGCATGTTTAATGCCAAATACTCAGAAAATGGGCTGCTCGTGTATAAATGCTTCTGTGGCGTATCGACAACTGCTCGGACAAATATTCTGTATTTTTTTCCTGGTTCCAAACGCCTGTTAACAAATCCGCCAAACTTTTCACCCGTTCCTAAATGAAATGTGTATGGAATATTCCTTTGTGGAAATTTTGCTGCCACGTAAGGGAAATTCTTATTTTCAAATTTAGTCTGCTCTATAATACTATCAGTTAAAAATTGGTCTGGATTTTTATAATTCAAAGCAGAATTTTCAGGAACAACGATTAAAAAATAGTGGCTTATTGGACCATATTCTTCTGATGCTTGAGGAAGAATTACTTGAATTTCCTCTCCGTTCTCTACACCATAAAAGTCAGGTTGAACCATCGCTTGAGGAGCTGCCATTTGAGTTGTAACTGTTATTTTTGCAGGTGGTCGGTATGATACATCTGAAGGGACGGCACTAACATTGACATTATAAGTTGTAAAAGGAGACAAATCATCAATGGTGTAAAAACGCAAGTTATACTCTACGATCTTTTCTACTTTAGGTATAATTTGAGTTTGAGTTATACCTTGTGAATCTACAAACTCTTTTACAGCATCGAAACAAATTTTAAAGTGTATTGGATTCAACTTTATAGGAGGAGACCAGGATAAAGTCATGGAATGTGTGGTTACATCATGTGCTCTTAAATTAAGCGGAACATCTTCGGGTTTGACCTTGACAGTTATTTTCTCTGATAACCTACCAAATCCTTGTTCTAATCTCGCAGCTACGGCTACAGCATATTGGGCGTACTTTTCTAAATTTATGATATTCGCAGACTCAGTTAATCCCACAGACGTTTGCTGCCATTCGTCTAGATCTTCTACGGCTACCATTGTATAAAATATTTGATAACCAATAATTCTTTTCCGCGAGGGCATGTTTTCCCACCATACTTCAACGCTTGAATCTGAAGTTGCCATAACCCTAACGTTCATGGGAGCTCTACCAACATCCTCTGTTTCCAATAGCACTTTCTCACCAAATGGTCCCGCACCCTTCGACGTATAAGCCCTTACATGGAATACATATTCAGAATTTTCATCAAGATTAGTGAATACTGCTCTCGAAACAGAGACGTTACGGCTTATAATATTATTATGATCAGACTTTTTGTTAAATTGAACTTCAAAGATTGTAATTTTTCCATTTCGGTGTTTTGGACTAGGTGCATGCCAGGAAAAACAAACAATATCCGGAGTTTGGAAAGTATACGAAACATTAGTAGGCGGCCCTGACGGCAGACCTTCAGGCATATCAACTGTAGAAACAAATTCTTGCCCAAATCCTATATGGTTTTGCCCTGCGATTTTGAACTCATATTTTTCTCCTTTTTGAAGATCTGTGATTTGATACCTACTAATATTTTGACCTGCAGATGAAAGGAATACCAAATGCAATCGTATATTTAAATCAATAATGGTAATTCATTTATGTAACTGGAAACTACCTCTTATGAAGCTCTCTATTAAAGGTTTGCCTTTAATTCCGTAACGAATTCTGTATCCTAACAGTTCACCGTAAGTACTTATTGGTCTAGACCACTCTAATTCAACATCGATTCTGGAATCTTGCTCCATTGAGCTAATAAATGTGAAAAGGAGATGAAAGCAAAGAATTTACTTGTGTTATAACAATGACAACTTTAACATAGACAATAAATTACTGTACCTAACAAATAGTGTTGGTTTGCTTGGAACACCACCAGGCATTTTAATGACATAAGGATCAGTACGGTTACCACTTAAACCTCTTGCAACTGCCGCAACTTGTATTGCGTAGCTTGTGTCTGGTTGCAATTCGGTCACATTGAATTCAAAAATTGAAGGCTTCAAAATTTGGAATACCATAGGTTGCTCTGCTCTTGTATCCTAATAAACATTAACCATTTTAATGTGATACAGGGTGAAAATACAATATCTTGTACCTCATTATTTGTTTCCTGAATAAACACATGATACCCTTGGATGATGTACTCTGGAAAATTTAATATTGGTGGTTTCCAAGTGATTGTTAAAGCAGTTGAATTTATAAATATAACCCTCAAGTCTTGTGGTTCTCCGGGAACTAAAATTAAGTTTGAAAGAAGTCAACATTTTAAAAAATACTCATAATATTGTTAGCATACTATATTCTTTGGTACGAGCAGCAATTGGGGGTGAAGTAGCTCCTTCTCCTCGCGATGATTTTGCCGCTATCCATACATTATATAGACTGTTGGGATGTAAATCTAATAGTGTATACTTTTCAATGGGTAATAGCTGACGTGTATGTCTTTCGTTTGCGTAAGTATCGTTCCAGTACAGTTCGTAACTTAATAAATCTTCTGAAGAATATGTGGGCTTATTCCACCGTAACGTAAGAGCTGTTTCGTTTGCTTCTAAAACCCTTATATTCGTTGGTTGACTAGGTACCCCTAAAAAATGTATTTCCGTACTAATCTTACCCACAAAACACAGCAACTAAAAAATTATTTGCATTGGCCCAATTAACTATCCGAGATTTTCAAACTTTCATATTCTCCCTCAAAAATCTCGCAAACGATTTTGACAATTTGCTTTAAATAATACCCTCTAGTGAGGTAAAAACAAACCTTGCTGAGTTTTAACGTTCACTGATAAGCTTAAAGGTCCAGGTCCGTCATAAGTAAAAGCCTGAACTTTAATAGTGTATATAGTGTGCGGAGTAAGCTCGCTTATTGTTGTTAACTGATTGTTATCTACCATTTGTGATCTCCATTGAGCAACTGGTAAATTGGGGTTTGTAGTATAATATACTTTGTATCCCTGCAAATTATATTGCTCAGTAGAATTAAAGACTATGCTATATAAATAAAAATTTTACAGTGATTTGTCCACTGGGTATGTCTGGTTCTTCCCACTGTATCACAATTGTACTTGAGCTAAGTGGCCGAACCTGTACATTATGAGGTACTGTATCCATTTCTACAGGAACCGCAAATTAATGAGCTGTTTCGTACATCAGTGCTATATTTCTAATTATTAAAATGTTTTATTAAACTTACCTACTCCGGCAGCAGAACCGGCTAAAAGATAAAAATATATTTCAGATTAAACTATAACTAGTAGAGATGTACAGGCCTGACGCTGGAAGCTGGCGGAAATTTTAAAATGGCGTGGATGCGCGTTAGCAAAAGTAGGCATTTTTAGGTATAACGATTGCAGCCCTCTTTCTTCAGTATTCCTATCAGTTGCGTAGATTGAATATTTAAAAATAGGGATCAGTGAGCAAGTAATAGGCATACAAACAGAAGAACTAATTGTTGATGTTGGTGACAGTGATAGAGATTCCCTTGATGACAGTGAATGTGAAAACTAACTATAAAACAAAACTATAGGTTTATTGTTTCTTTTTTTAGTAAGTTATGTTTCTACATTATTTTCTAGTACGCTACTGTTCTATCCGTATTATTACTATAATTTACGCCAACTAAAAGCTTATTTGTGTATCGGTTCCAAGTGACTTACCCAAATACGTCATAAATGGGAAAGTACCTGCGCAACCGCTCGCCAGCTTCCTTCGTCCGACCTGTACCGACTGTGAATTTGGCCGACTGGCCGACTAGCCGATTAGTCGATTGTATAGAGGCCAACTAGTCGGCCAGGCCGATCACGGTTTCGGGGGTATTCAACAATTTCCGTGACGCTTTGTTTACAGCTTATTTGCGCGTAAGTTTTTCTTACTTCGGTTTCGATTTTTGGTTTTCACGGGTCAGAGTAGTACTTTATTACAGAAATAATGACAATACTTTCATTGTTCATTACAATTACAATTTAATTATGTTAAAAAGAAAGTCTCGTGAATGGATTTTTTTTGACAAATTGGGCAATGATTCCCGTAAAGTCAAGTGTAAGCAGTGTCAAATGGCAATTCTTAGGTGGGCAGGGAAAAACAGCAAATTTATACTAAGGATATGAACAACCATATCTTATATCAACACCTAACCCAGCTACCTCAGTTGGCTTCTATGATTAAATGCTTGACCACGATTCCTCAGTCACAAATCCAAGTCAGTTAAAAATAAAAATTCCTACTCTTTTATTTAAGTAAGAAGAAATATTTATCAATGTTTATTGATGAAGGTATGACGATATGTGTAAGACTGATTCTAAAATAAAAATGCTAATTAACAATCAAAGTTTTTGTTTTGTGTAATTTCTCCTGTATACATTCTATCAAGAAATAAATACAGAGCAAGAATTCGAAAAGTCGCCGTCTGAGAAAGTGGCCTAACCGGAACATCACCAATAAGTAGGCATATACTAACGCCATGAAAATGCATCTTAAATAAGCTGATAGGGGAATGGAAGCATGATGGGGTCTTTAGGCAAGACGGGGTCACACACACATACAGGAAACTAGACATTTGCGAATAGAAAACCACAAACCAGCCAGCCAGACTTGATGAAGGGTCGGTGCGAAAGATACAGTGAGTAGAAGTGGATGCCGTCTTTGCTTACAAACCAAAAAATAGTTTAGCGTCTCGTCTTTGTCTAGTGGAAAACGTCCTTAGTGTAACGTAACCATGGCCATCCAATGTGTCTTTTTTTAAATATGGTGTTGTTTAACTTCATTTGGTATAAGTTAACCTTTGGAGCAAGATGGGGTAGTGGGTGTGGATTCATTTGTATTTGCAAATACGTAACACTATATTACTATTTTTAATGAAAAACCATGGTACATAAACAGAAAACAAAAAACAGAAGAAGAGAGTGGTCGACAAATACTACAAAAACAACTGTAGATAATGTATTAAGGTAAGAAATGGGCTATAAAAAAGCTGCTTCTGCATACGCAGTGTCTCAGACTGCAGTAGAGAGTTATGTTAAGAATGACAAAATATTGTAATGTTACAATTGATTTACCTTTAAACCCTAAGAGAAGCTATATTTACAACAAAAAAGAACGACGAAATGGTAGGACATTTGAAACGTGTGACGCAGAAGAAATCCACGCTGGACATGGACAGCTTCAGATGGAAGGATCTCTGAATTAGTTTACCACTTCTGCTAGCGAAACGTTAGAAAGCATCTTCAAATATCGACAGCCTTTCGACCCGAATCAGGACAGCGTCAGTTTACCTACTGGTCGCGAAAGCGTTTACCTGTTATGCTGTATTTTTGTTATTTCCTTTAGCTACCCCATCATGACCCCCTTTTTTCCTACTTTACAGTTACCTTGTAAGGCTTTTTGATACTTAATTTTGTAGCTGCCAATACGAATTAACATAACAACAGATACAACCGATATACATTGAAATTATATCATTTTTAAAACAAACTGCCATTTCAGAATATTTCATTATCATTTAGCATGCATGTGATATTTGATTCCGATGTGTGAAATGTATTGTAAGAGCCAAACTAATTTTTATGGCATCATGTTTAACACGTGGTTTTCATGTTTCCTAGCATGTTTATAAATTTAACTTGACATTCACAGTGGTGAAATGGACATTGGTGTTATACAGTAAACCATCAACGAAACCGTTCAGGTGTCAAATTGTGCCTGGTGTTAGCATGTAGATTTGAAAGAAGTAGTTAATTAAACACGTGCCAGACTGTGTTACATATGCAACTAATTTCTATCAGATAATTACCCACCTGTTTCTCCTGTAACAACGGTGACAGTTGCACTCGGCGGCCCCCTGCCTATGTTGTTTACAGCAGAGACAAACATTTCGTATTCTGTATAGGGACTCAGATTTCGAACTGAATAGTACATGGTAATAATGCCAGATATTTCGCTGAAAGCTTGGTTTGCATATCTCGGCTTAAACTGAATAACGTAATATTGTACGTCTTCTGTTCCATTGTAAGACCAACTTAACCTGACCGAAGTGGCTGTAGTCTCTGATACTTGAACTTTAGATGGCTGGATAGGTAGAGCTGTAAAACATATCTTTAAATAGTTTAAAAAAAAAAAGTTATTTTAACATAGAAGATAAGTACATGTTGAAATACAAAAAAAGCAGTATAATGTGATATTTGTATGTAGTTTCTTCAATATAAACTGCTTAAAATGCATTCTATTAAAAATATAATATATATTCGAGAGTAACGGGTTTATAGGTTTTAGATACTCATGTAGAGGAGAAGATAAGCCTACGATTATCAATCATTAGAGATAAAAACTTCATTCAGGGTTCGACTGACTCCTTTGCCTCACAATTGTCGATAAAAATTGGCCCTATCCTGAACAGTAACACTGGCGGACCTTCGGCAAAGGTTCCGTAAAATAATGTAAGAAAAAGG